CACCGGCCTGCACGACGCGATGCCGCTGGAGCCGTAGAAGTACTCCCTTCCGTAGGCCACGACTCCCGTGTGCCATATGCCTTCGATCTGCTTGCCTGAAACAATTAGTTGTATCGTCAGCACATTTTGAGGATTGAAATTAACTAAGCGTTTGTCTAAATAACTATAGATTTACGGTGAAAACTGACTTAAAACAGTCTTCCAAGTGTTTCAACATTTTTGTGATATTAATTCACCGGTTCATAAAGTGATAAAAAAACGAAAATAAAATACACATATACATGTTTACATATACATGCAAGCAAATCATACATGTATATAGAGCAAATGTGAAATACAAGTGATATATATGTATATATAAAACAAACACATGCAAACACACATGCATGTATACAAATATGCGTGTATATATATATATGGTGTATACGTGTTTCCTGTCTGGCACGCAGACACATACTAATACACACGCACACAAAGCACATATGCATACAACACATACTCAAATATGTATGTATATAACACAATCAAACATGTATTAACACACACACACAAACGTATATATAACACAAACGTATATATATGTGTGTATAACACAATCATACACTCATAAAAAACACATATGCACATACATGTACAACACACACATAAACATACTAACAGACCCTTACAAACGCGCACAAAGACACAATCTAACACACCTAACACACACTACCCCGCCACATTCCCTGTACTCGCATACCTCCATGTTTACAACAGGGAGCGCGGTAGTGACCTTGACTCGCCGTAGCAACCCGGGGAAGAAGCCAGGCGGGGAGGAGATTGCATCAACTTCATTTCGCGCCGATAGTGAAGCACATAAAGGTCCAATTAAGTCCTAATTGGGCGTGCAAGGAGGTGGGAGGGGGGGAAGGGAGAAGGGAGGGGTGATATGGCCAGTGGGAGTACCGTGGATGCTCGGGATTTGGAATCTGGAACTGGTGTCAGGATTAGGAATCAGGGTTTGCAATTGTGTTTTTTTTTGGGGGAGGGGGGTTAGGTGCTGGTATCAGGGCATGACATCAGACTTCTGGCATCAGGATTCTGCATCAAAGCGTGGAATCAAACTTCCGAATCGGACTTCAGTAACAGCAATTAATTAAACATCGCTAGCATGAATTGGTGGCACTATCCGCCGTTTAGAGTGATGGCAGTGTGTTGACCAAGTGTGGCGGGATCAAGACTAACGCGGCCAGGTGTAAACAAGCCCCTTCTCCCCCCTTTTTTTCCCCAAAGGATAGTTTCCATAGCTGGCACCAGAGGGAACCACCTGGGCCCTCCTCCGTAACCCTTTTATTTACCGTGGGAATGCGCACGGCCACGCGGGGGATGGCGCTATCCCGGATTCCTTTTTATTTCTGATTTCGAGAACAGAAGTCTTTTTCTTTTCTCTTTGTCCTTTCTTTTCTTTTTTTTTCTTTTCTTTGAGGGCTGAGAAAGAAGAGAGAGGACACCAATGGTTGTATATATATATATATATATATATATATATATATATATATATATATATATATATATATATATATATATATATATATATATATATATATATATATATATATATATATATATATATATATATATATATATATATATATATATATATATATATATATATATATATATATATATATATATATATATATATATATATATATATATATATATATATATATATATATATATATATATATATATATATATATATATATATATATATATATATATATATATATATATATATATATATATATATATATATATATATATATATATATATATATATATATATATATATATATATATATATATATATATATATATATATATATATATATATATATATATATATATATATATATATATATATATATATATATATATATATATATATATATATATATATATATATATATATATATATATATATATATATATATATATATATATATATATATATATATATATATATATATATATATATATATATATATATATATATATATATATATATATATATATATATATATATATATATATATATATATATATATATATATATATATATATATATATATATATATATATATATATATATATATATATATATATATATATATATATATATATATATATATATATATATATATATATATATATATATATATATATATATATATATATATATATATATATATATATATATATATATATATATATATATATATATATATATATATATATATATATATATATATATATATATATATATATATATATATATATATATATATATATATATATATATATATATATATATATATATATATATATATATATATATATATATATATATATATATATATATATATATATATATATATATATATATATATATATATATATATATATATATATATATATATATATATATATATATATATATATATATATATATATATAT